TGGTGGGTGTTGGATACCTTCAGGACAGGGGGATCACGGTTACCTTCTTGGGGGGTGGGCGGACTGCAGTCTGTACTGACGCTACCACAGGTGCTGTTCTGGCCACGTTCACCAGGGAGCCCCGCTCCGGTCTCTACGTTCTCCACACCGAGCGCTCCCCGGTCGCGTCCTCCCCTCCGGTTGTTGCGTCCCCTCCGACCCAGGTCCCCAGTCCAGTGGCTGTGTCTAGCCAGGTAGTCGTGTCCAGTCCGGTCGCTGTGTCCAGTCCAGTCGCTGCGTCTTGCTCCTGTCGCTCTCTCGCCCACCGCACCGTTCTGTGGCACCACCGTCTTGGCCACCCGTCGATCCCTCGCCTTCGTGGCATGCTCAGTCACGGACTAGTCACAGGTCTCCCACGCACCTTCCCGTCGCTCCCTCTCTCGCTTGCCCCTCCTTGCTCTCCGTGCGTCGCCGGTCGCTTACGCGCCACTCCCCACTCCTCCTCCCTTCGTCCGGCCACCGCTCCCTTCGAGACTCTCCACTTGGACGTCTGGGGCCCTGCCCCGACGCAGGGGTCTGGGAGGGAGCGTTACTTTCTGGTGGTCGTCGACGACTTCTCCAGGTACACCACAGTGTTCCCTCTTGCGAAGAAGTCCGAGGTGACTGCTACGCTGATCAGGTGGCTTCTAGCCACTGAGGGCACTCGTGGTCGTCGAGTCAGTTGTCTCCACTCCGACCGTGGGGGCGAGTTTCGCTCCGGCATTCTCGGCGGATTCTGCGGCGAACAGGGCATCACCCAGTCCTGGACTCTGCCAGAGTCCCCACAGCAGAATGGGGTTGCTGAGCGCCGCATAGGCTTGGTCATGGACATCGCCCGCACGTCCATGATCCATGCCCGTGCGCCCCATTTTCTGTGGCCCCACGCGGTTCGCTACGCCGCACACCAGCTGAACCTCCAGCCGCGTGTCTCGCGGCCCGAGGCTTCACCGACCAGTCTTTGGACTGGTTCCCCTGGTGTCGGGTCGGCCTTTCGAGTCTGGGGCTGCCTTGCGCAGGTCCGCGACACCTCTGCGGACAAGCTCTCGGCACGCGCCATTCCCTGTGTCTTCCTTGGTTTCCCGGTAGACTCGGCCGACTGGTCCTTCTACCACCCGCCCCTCCACCAGTTCCTAGACTCCCGTGACGTCCGGTTTGACGAGTCCGTGTCCTACTACACCCGGCACCCTTGTCGAGGTCTCCCGGTACCCCCTCCCCCTCTTTTCCTCGCACCCTCTCCTCCTCCTGCTCCCGCTCCTCCGGTACCCCTGCCCCCCCCTGGTCCTGCCCCGTCTGGTGTGTCTCACGCTACCCCTCTACCCTCGGTCGCGCGTCAGGTAGCGTCTCCCTCCCGTAGTCCTCCTCACAGCCCCCTCAGCAGCCTTCGGCGCTTCCGCGACAGGTTCCTGTGGACTCGGTTGGTGTTGGAGCTGGAGGTGCAGCTTCTAGCGGTGCTCGGTCTGGGGGCGCTAGCTCTGGGGGTGCTGGAGCTGGAGGTGCTGGCGCAGGCGGCGCTAGCTCTGGGGGTGCTGGAGCTGGAGGTGCTGGCGCAGGTGGCGCTGGCTCTGGGGGTGCTGGAGCTGGAGGTACTGGCACTAGAGGTGCTAGTTCTGGGGGTGCTGGAGTTGGAGGTGCTGGCGCTGGCGGTGCTAGTTCTGGGGGAGCTGAGTCTGAGGAGACTGACGCTGGAGGCCCTGGTTCTGCGGAGTCCACTCCGCCTCCCCACCGCCACGACACGCGTCTCCAGGCTGCCCGTCGGCGTGAGCGTGAGGAGCAGGAGCGGCTGGAGAGGGAGCGGCAGGAGCTGCGGGTGCTGGACCTTCTGGAGCAGCAGCGGCAGCAGCAGCAGCAGCAGCAGCAGCAGCAGCAGCAGCCGCAGCCGCCGCCGCAGCCGCAGCAGCAGCAGCAGCAGCCGCCTCCGCAGCTTCCTCTTGAGCGGCAGTTGTTCCCACCTGTGAGTGGCCTGCGGGCCCTTGGCCTTTCCTCCTCTCCTCCTGTCCGCTCCCAGTCTCCTCCTGTGTTTGTTTCTCCGTTGCCTCCTCCTGACGACCGTCCGGCGGTCTGGTCTTCTCCTCCTCCACAGTCTCCTCCTCCTTCTGTCCGTCGCGACTTGGTCACCCGTTGTTCGCCGCGTGCTCGTCACTCGTCCCCTGTTACTGACCTCCACACTGCCCTCCTTTGTTCGTCTCGTCGTCGTTCTCCTTCTCCTGAGTCCGTTCTCCCGTCTCCTCCTCCGTCCTCTCTCCCTTCCCTCCCCACTCCTATCACCGACTACTACCGCGCTGTTCGTCCTGTTGCCGCACGTGTCCTCGCCACTCTTGTCACCGACTCTCGTTTCCCTCCGTCGTCGGTCTCTGCTCTCACTGCCGCTGTCGCTGAGTTTGCTGCCGCCAGCCGCCTTGACTACGCCACCCGTGTGGTGCCAGCTCCTCCCTACCGTCCTCTGTCCGTCGGGGGTGAGTTTGCCCTTGGCTGTGACGTCCTAGAGGACAGAGAGTCTGAGCTGGAGTACTGGGCAGCCGCTTCTCCCTCTGTGTGTGCCATGCTGCTCTCCCCTGAGGGAGACCCCGACGCCCTTGACATACCGACTCCTCGCACTTACCGCGAGGCAGTGTCAGGGGCGTGGGCCTCTCAGTGGAAAGCGGCTATGGACTCAGAGTTGGCGTCTTGGAGATCCACAGGCACCTACGTCGACGCAGTTCCCCCTCCCAGGGCGAACGTAGTCGATGGCATGTGGCTCTTCAAGGTGAAGCGGCCGCCTGGAGCACCGCCGGTGTTCAAGGCGCGCTACGTGGCTAGGGGCTTCAGTCAGCGTGAGGGAGTTGACTTCTTCCAGACCTTCGCCCCGACCCCGAAGATGACTACTCTTCGGGTGTTACTCCACATAGCAGCGCAGCGAGACTACGAGCTGCACTCCCTCGACTTCTCCACTGCGTTCCTCCAGGGCCGACTGCACGAGGAGATCTGGCTGCGCCGTCCTCCTGGTTTCACTGACACCTTCCCACCAGGGACCCAGTGGAGCCTGAGGCGACCAGTCTACGGTCTCCGCCAGTCGCCCCGTGAGTGGCACGACACTCTTCGCTCCACGCTTCGTGACCTTGGGTTCAGCCCGTCCTCCGCCGACCCGTCGCTGTTTGTTCGAGCGGGTTCTACTCCTTTCTTTATCCTTGTCTACGTCGACGACTTGGTGTTTGCTACAGCAGACAGGGCAGCCCTGGCTCAGGTGAAGTTCGAACTGCAGAAGAGACACAAGTGCACTGACCTGGGTGAGCTGCAGCGTTACCTTGGCTTGCATATCACCCGGGACAGAGCCGCTCGCACCATCACACTGACGCAGTCACACATGGTGCAGCAGGTCCTTCGGCGGTTCGACTTCCAGTTCTCCACCACACAGCCCACTCCTCTTGCTGTTGACCACAGACTCACTGGCCCCTTTCCCGACGAGCCTTTTGAGTCCAGTGGTCCCTACGCAGAGCTGGTGGGCTGCCTCATGTACCTGATGACTTGTACTCGGCCGGACCTCGCCTTTCCCCTCAGCGTCCTCTCTCGCTTTGTTGCGACTGGGAGACACCGTCCTGTCCACTGGACAGCTGCTGTGAGGGTGGCGAAGTACCTGGCGACTACATCAGGCATGGGGCTTGTGCTTGGAGGGACTCAGCCAGTGGCGTTGACTGGGCACTGCGACTCTTCCTACGCTGACGACGTGGAGACTCAGCGTTCGACTCAGGGTTACTGCTTCAGTCTGGGAGCTGGTGCTGTGTCGTGGAGGTCTACTCGGTCGTCGTCTGTGGCTACTTCCAGTGCAGAGGCAGAGATCTACGCTGGTGCCATGGCGGCACAGGAGCTTCGTTGGTTGACCTTCTTGCTCACCGACCTTGGTGAGCGGCCTCGTTCTGCACCGACCTTGTATGCTGACAACAAGGCCATGATCCTCCTGTGTCGAGAGCCGCGACTGGAGAGCAGAGTAAAGCATATTGACGTGAGGTACTTCCTCCTGCGAGAGCTGCAGCGACGCGGCCAGGCACGCCTGGACTTTGTGGCCTCAGAGGCCAACACTGCAGACGTCTTCACCAAGGCCTTGGCGCCTGGTGATCACCACAGGTTCTGTGTGCAGTTGGGGCTTGTTGAGGTAGGCCCTCGGTTGCTGTAGTCTTGTTGCTTGCTCTGCTTGTTGTGTTTTCATATTTATATCCTAGTGAACTGTTGAACTGGCCTTGTGGCCGCTTGCTTGTGCTCGGAATTTGTGTGGTGTCCTTGAGCTCCACCCTGAGCTTGTCTTGCCTTGACTGGTCTTGTGACCGTTTGTTTTCACCTTGCTTGCCCTGGTGTCCCTCACTTAGCCTATGGGGGTGTGTCAAATGTTAATGTTATGATAGGCTGCAGTGAGGCACTCCCTAAAGGGTACAACATTTGTAGGACTCCTATTTGTATGCTTGCAAACCCTAATTCCAATCATTCCGTTGCATGTAGACTTTGAGAACAAGCACCAGTGTGAGCTGGTTTAGGGGCAATGGAGGTACCAGAAACTTTCATTCCGCATGCTAGTCAGTTGGCTAAGGTTCTGGTAAACTGGTATCAGTGAAATGCACTGACAGTACCAGAAGCTACATGGTTTAGGGTACTACGTAGTTTAGGGTACTACTTTTTCAGAAAAAGGCGGCTGGATTATAGGTTGTAGGCTCCTAAGTCATGGAGATATTAAGTTACTTGATAACCAAGGATTATGTGCTTTGTTGTGGAGTTGTGTAAGGTAGTTCTCTAGATCTCAAGCTAGGCAACATCTGCAGGACAGCGGAAATTTTCAGCCAGCTTTCACTCATAATTAATCATTAACAGAATGGTAAGAATAGAACAAACTTCTCTACACGCATAAATGATGTCCATGCACTTATTGGTCGCTGAAAATCACAGCATGTGCAGGACAGCACCATTCACAAAGCACATTGAAGGATGATCCAAACCTCCAACTCTCCGGGCTGCCACGCTTACCACACCCACGTGTACCCTGCGGCCTTCGCAGCAGCTTCGGCCTGCTGCGCAGCGATCGTGGCATTGTAGGCGCGCGATGCCATGAGATTCGCGGTATTATCCGCGCTCGTCTTCGCAGTGTTCGCCTTGCTCAACAGAATCTTCGCGTTCGACACATTCGCCGACTTTGCAGGGATGGACGCGTTCGCGTAACTCACGTCAAACTGCGCCTGCGTGACCGCCGCAGCCGCCGCCTGATCCGCAGCAATGCCCGCGGCAAGATCCGCCTTAGCGTTCTCCACGGCCTGCTGCTGCTTGATAAGCTCCGCCTGCACCGCATCGGGATTGTCGAGATCATTCTGCCTCTTAACCAAGAAATCCGCCGCGCGATTCGCTTGGTCAACCATGTCCTTGAGAATGGACTCGGCTTGGGCCTTCACCGCCATCGCCTCGGCCAGCTTGGCTTGCGCTGCGGCCAGATCGGAGCCTGTGAGGCTCGAGTCGGCCGCCTTCTTCGCCGCGTCGATCGCCTCAATGTTCGCGTCGGCGACCTCGCCCTGCTGGTCGTCCACCAATTGCGCCGTCATGTTGGCGCGTCGCTTAGCGTCCTCCACGGCTTGTAAAAGCGACGTCTCGTCAGTGCCTTGCGCGACGAGCTTATCCAGCTGCGCCTGCGCCTCGTCCGTGGCGTTCTGGAGAGCGGGGATCGCGGCGGCCGTGGCGTTCTTCGCGGCGATCTTGTTCGCGAGGACAATCTTGAGGCGGTTAACGAGGGGTAACGCGTCGTTGTACGCCGCCGTTGCGTTCGCGAGCGTCGCGTTTGCATTGATAACATCCTGCGCCCTCAGCGCCGCGGTGGCGTTCGCGGTGGCGGAATCCCTGGTACAGTTGATGGCGTAGGCTCTCGTCGTGCGCGCCTTGGTGACGAGGAACGGCTCCGTCTGGCCAGTAGCGAAAGACGCGTATGCTGCGATTGCGAGGAGAGCCAGCAGCAGGAAGGATGGGTTGCGAATGGACGCCATGCTACCGTGCAGTAAAGTTGAAACAAGGAGTGTGTGTAACAGGGTGAAGTGAAGTGAGCTGCGAGTAAGCGAGGAGAGTATGGTAAGCTTCAAATGGCTGGAGATTGGAGTGTGGGAACTGATGATTGAAGCAATGGGACAGGCTGATGTCTTATGAACACGTGAGATCAAATTCCAGGGTTGAGGCGAAATCGACATGTGGGGAAGAATGTCCAGATCAGGAAGGTTACGCGGTTCGATAAAGGATGGGAGGGGAGTGAGTGAGTCGCGGCTCGACAACAAGGGGTGGGTTGGCTTGGCCTGCCCTCCCATTGCAGGATGTGGCGAAGTGTGGCGATTGTTGGCAGCCAGGCTTGCTGCTGGGCGGGGTTTGATAAGCAAGGTTCGCATCGCAAGAACTTTGCTCAAGCCAAGAAATTTACGCCCCCCCCAGAAAAATCTGAGGTCCCAATAGGTGAAAATGTGAAGTCGCGGAACACAGTGAAGCTAGGGGAAAGGCTCCACGAGGTGGAGTATGGGCGCATTGTGGAAAACAGCTGGCCGCGGTGCCTCGCGATCAGGTTTGAGGGTGCGGGCGATGGGGTAGCGAAACTTATGGGTGGTAACAAATACTCATCACAGCATTTATGCACCTACAATTGTGTCAATCTTAGAAAACAGACATTTTCATATGTATGCAAATTGGAAGAAAACGAAGCACATGAACCATATGCTGTTCGAAATGGACAGAAAAGGGGACCTGTGTGGATCTCAATCGGCCGTCATAGTTATTATCATTAATTATAATAATTTTAAACCAGATTCTGATCGACTATTTTAAGAACTTACACAAACTAAGATATATGTAATTGTACAACATGTATGAGTACAAATCTGGATAAACCTTTCCCTGTCTCTGTTTTGGCAGAAACTCTCCAAATCAAGTTGCGTGAAATCCACATGATTGAATTAGTACCGCCAAGCCTATGATGCCTTTCACGCTTTCATCTCGTGCCAACAACGAGAGCTCCTTTACCGAGGCGACCGGAGCTCACTGGTTTTCACACTTCATCGACCTAGATTCTCTTGTGCTTCATTTTCCCGCCCTTCCCCGTTACTGGCGCTTGTCTTTCTAGATTGCTGACACCCGCAATCATGGATGACGAGGATATCACGATCGCGAGCGTTCCCAAGAAGCCGATTTTCTTTGGAAGCCTCGAGATTGCCGAGAAGCAGCGGCTCGAGAAGCTGAAGAAGCAGGCCGCAATGTTCGCCGCGAAAGGCGTAGTGGGGGACGGCGATTCGGACGACGACGAGTCTGGCGGCAAGAAAGAGATTAAGGAGGAGGAGATGGAGGGAAACGCAGGAGAAGGTGAGGAGGAGGACGAAGGGGATGAGGATGAGGAAGAGGAGGATGATGAGGAGGGAGAAGAAGGGGAAGGAGGAGGAGGAGGTAAGGGTAAAGGAGTCGAGTACGAGTTATCAGAGACCGGGAAACGCGCGAAGGAGCGTCAGGAGCAGATGCTTAAGGAGCTCGAGATGAAGCGACGCGCGCGCGCGCTCGCGGTGCCTACTAGCGACACGGCGGTGCGATTGCGACTCCGCGCGATCGGCGAGCCAATCACGCTCTTCGGCGAGCGCGAAATGGAGCGGCGCGACCGACTTAGGTCTATAATGGCTAAGTTAGACGCCGAGGGGCGGCTCGACGAGCTCTACGAGGCGATCGAGCGGCAAATGCGGGAGAGCGGGGAAGGCGGCGCGGAGGTTCTAGAAACGGAGGAGGTGCCTCAAGCGGAGTTGTTCTATACCGAGGGGAGTAAGGAGCTGCTGCTGGCGCGGCAGGAAATTGCGGTGTTTTCGCTGCCCCGGGCAGGTGAAAGGATCCGGCGCGCGAAGCGGCGGCGCGAGGATCCCGATGAGGACGAGGAGGCGGAGGCGAAGGAAATGATTGGCGTGGTGCAAGGGATGAGCATGCAGGTCGGTTGAGAGCGGTGCTAAGCAGCAGGTGGGTGAAGAGCGGTACTGAGCGGTGCAGGTAATGAGCATGCAGGTTGAGGACACCGATGAGGACGAGGAGGCGGAGGCGAAGGAAATGGTTGGCGTGGTCCAGGGGATGAGCATGCAGGTGGGAAATGAGCGGTACTGGATGGTGCAAGGGTTGAGCATACCTTCTTCCCATACCTCCCCGCCTCCTGTGCCCCTCGCTTTGCCCCCCCCAAGTATCAGAGATAGGCGACGAGCGCCCCATATCTGCCTGCGCCCTCTCCCCCGACGCCTCTCTGGTTGCCACGTCAGGGTGGAGCGTCGCCTGCCACCTCTGCTTGCTGCCAGCTGTGGTAGCTGCTCCATACCCTCATACTTGCTGCCCCACCCACCACACCCTCCCCCTCCCCCCCCACCTCCGCAGGTATCAGAGATAGGCGATGAGCGTCCCATTTCTGCGTGTTCTCTCTCCCCCGACGCCTCTCTCCTCGCCACCTCGGGGTGGAGCGGCGCGTGCCGCCTCTGGTCGCTGCCAGCTGTGCGGGCGGCAGGCGCCCTGCGCGGCCACTCAGAGCGCGCCACGTGTGTGGCCTGGCACCCCCACGCGCTCTCCTCGCTCCCTGCCTCTGGCCCAAACATTGCCACAGCCGGTGCTGACAAGTGAGGATCTAGAGGATTAGGTACAGGAATATTCTAGGGTTAGGACTGCTGCATGGTGCCTGGCGCCCCCACACGCTCTCCTCGGCCCCAACCTCGCCACTGCTGGTGCTGACAGGTGAGAGGATGAGGGGTGATGGGGTAGAGGTGTAGGGTTCTGACTGGGGCTGCTGCGGATTGCTTAACAGTGGCAACCCCACGCGCTTTCCTCGCTCTCTGCCGCCCGCCCCGGCCTTTCCACTGCTGGTGCTGATAAGTGGGGATGTTAAGTGGTGCTGATACGAACTAGGTTTAGGGAGTTGCCAGCGACTTAAGAGGTCCTAGCCGGGGTGGGTTTACTGTGTATGTCTCCGGCTAGGACCTCTTAAGTCGCTGCCCTCACCTGCTCTCACCTCCTCTCCTGATTCCCCATCCCCACTCCCAACCCCATCCCACCCCCCTTCCCCGCCTTTTCCCTGTCAGGTGTGCCCTGCTGTGGCCACTACCATGGGCAGCATCATCCCCTCCCGATGCCAACGGCCAATCCGACAACCCCACATCCCTCCCTCAATCCGACGGCCCTGATTCCTCCTCCCGCCCCGCACCCCCCTCCTCCTCCTCCTCCCCCGCTCTCTCCACCCCTCTCCTCCGCCTCTCCGGCCACTTAGACCGGATCGCGCGAGTCGCCTTCCACCCGTCGGGAAGGTTCCTGGCAAGTACGAGTTTCGACAAGACCTGGCGCCTGTGGGATGTGGAGCGGGGGGGAGTGGAGTTATTGCTCCAGGAGGGGCACAGCCGGGCGGTGTACGGCGTCTCTTTCCAAAAGGACGGCGCACTCGTGGCCACGTGTGGCCTTGATGCTCTGTGCCGAGTGTGGGACTTGAGAACAGGGAGAAGCATTCTGGCTCTGGAAGGACATGTGAAGCCGGTAAGTTGGTCTGACCTTATACTCTGGATGCTCTGTGCCGGGTGTGGGATCTGAGGATAGGGAGGAGCATTTTGGCACTGGAAGGGCATGTGAAGCCGGTGGGTTGGGTTGGGATGGTTGTTGGTTTGAAGCGGTTTCGTATATGTTAGGCTGACCTGATGCTATAGATGCTCTCTGCTGCGTGTGGGACCTGAGAACAGGGAGAAGCATCCTCGCACTGGACGGGCATGTGAAGTCGGTGCGTTGCGATGGGAGACGAGGATGGGGTTTCCGTGTGTTTATTGGGTCTGTGCTGGTTTTCATGTGCTCTGTGCCGCGTGTGGGACCTGAGAACAGGGAGAAGCATCCTCGCACTGGACGGGCATGTGAAGTCGGTGCGTTGCGATGGGAGACGAGGATGGGGTTTCCGTGTGTTTATTGGGTCTGTGCTGGTTTTCATGTGCTCTGTGCCGCGTGTGGGACCTGAGAACAGGGAGAAGCATCCTCGCACTGGACGGGCATGTGAAGCCGGTGCGTTGCGATGGGAGACGAGGATGGGGTTTCCGTGTGTTTATTGGGTCTGTGCTGGTTTTCATGTGCTCTGTGCCGCGTGTGGGACCTGAGATCAGGGAGAAGCATCCTCGCACTGGACGGGCATGTGAAGCCGGTGCGTTGCGATGGGAGACGAGGATGGGGTTTCCGTGTGTTTATTGGGTCTGTGCTGGTTTTCATGTGCTCTGTGCCGCGTGTGGGACCTGAGAACAGGGAGAAGCATCCTCGCACTGGACGGGCATGTGAAGCCGGTGCGTTGCGATGGGAGACGAGGATGGGGTTTCCGTGTGTTTATTGGGTCTGTGCTGGTTTTCATGTGCTCTGTGCCGCGTGTGGGACCTGAGATCAGGGAGAAGCATCCTCGCACTGGACGGGCATGTGAAGCCGGTGCGTTGCGATGGGAGACGAGGATGGGGTTTCCGTGTGTTTATTGGGTCTGTGCTGGTTTTCATGTGCTCTGTGCCGCGTGTGGGACCTGAGAACAGGGAGAAGCATCCTCGCACTGGACGGGCATGTGAAGCCGGTGCGTTGCGATGGGAGACGAGGATGGGGTTTCCGTGTGTTTATTGGGTCTGTGCTGGTTTTCATGTGCTCTGTGCCGCGTGTGGGACCTGAGAACAGGGAGAAGCATCCTCGCACTGGACGGGCATGTGAAGTCGGTGCGTTGCGATGGGAGACGAGGATGGGGTTTCCGTGTGTTTATTGGGTCTGTGCTGGTTTTCATGTGCTCTGTGCCGCGTGTGGGACCTGAGAACAGGGAGAAGCATCCTCGCACTGGACGGGCATGTGAAGCCGGTGCGTTGCGATGGGAGACGAGGATGGGGTTTCCGTGTGTTTATTTGGTCTGTGCTGGTTTTCATGTGCTCTGTGCCGCGTGTGGGACCTGAGAACAGGGAGAAGCATCCTCGCACTGGACGGGCATGTGAAGCAGGTGCGTTGCGATGGGAGACGAGGATGGGGTTTCCGTGTGTTTATTGGGTCTGTGCTGGTTTTCATGTGCTCTGTGCCGCGTGTGGGACCTGAGAACAGGGAGAAGCATCCTCGCACTGGACGGGCATGTGAAGCCGGTGCGTTGCGATGGGAGACGAGGATGGGGTTTCCGTGTGTTTATTGGGTCTGTGCTGGTTTTCATGTGCTCTGTGCCGCGTGTGGGACCTGAGATCAGGGAGAAGCATCCTCGCACTGGACGGGCATGTGAAGCCGGTGCGTTGTGATGGGAGACGAGGATGGGGTTTCCGTGTGTTTATTGGGTCTGTGCTGGTTTTCATGTGCTCTGTGCCGCGTGTGGGACCTGAGAACAGGGAGAAGCATCCTCGCACTGGACGGGCATGTGAAGTCGGTGCGTTGCGATGGGAGACGAGGATGGGGTTTCCGTGTGTTTATTGGGTCTGTGCTGGTTTTCATGTGCTCTGTGCCGCGTGTGGGACCTGAGAACAGGGAGAAGCATCCTCGCACTGGACGGGCATGTGAAGCCGGTGCGTTGCGATGGGAGACGAGGATGGGGTTTCCGTGTGTTTATTTGGTCTGTGCTGGTTTTCATGTGCTCTGTGCCGCGTGTGGGACCTGAGATCAGGGAGAAGCATCCTCGCACTGGACGGGCATGTGAAGCCGGTGCGTTGCGATGGGAGACGAGGATGGGGTTTCCGTGTGTTTATTGGGTCTGTGCTGGTTTTCATGTGCTCTGTGCCGCGTGTGGGACCTGAGAACAGGGAGAAGCATCCTCGCACTGGACGGGCATGTGAAGCCAGTGCGTTGCGATGGGAGACGAGGATGGGGTTTCCGTGTGTTTATTGGGTCTGTGCTGGTTTTCATGTGCTCTGTGCCGCGTGTGGGACCTGAGAACAGGGAGAAGCATCCTCGCACTGGACGGGCATGTGAAGTCGGTGCGTTGCGATGGGAGACGAGGATGGGGTTTCCGTGTGTTTATTGGGTCTGTGCTGGTTTTCATGTGCTCTGTGCCGCGTGTGGGACCTGAGAACAGGGAGAAGCATCCTCGCACTGGACGGGCATGTGAAGCCGGTGCGTTGCGATGGGAGACGAGGATGGGGTTTCCGTGTGTTTATTTGGTCTGTGCTGGTTTTCATGTGCTCTGTGCCGCGTGTGGGACCTGAGAACAGGGAGAAGCATCCTCGCACTGGACGGGCATGTGAAGCCGGTGCGTTGCGATGGGAGACGAGGATGGGGTTTCCGTGTGTTTATTGGGTCTGTGCTGGTTTTCATGTGCTCTGTGCCGCGTGTGGGACCTGAGATCAGGGAGAAGCATCCTCGCACTGGACGGGCATGTGAAGCCGGTGCGTTGCGATGGGAGACGAGGATGGGGTTTCCGTGTGTTTATTGGGTCTGTGCTGGTTTTCATGTGCTCTGTGCCGCGTGTGGGACCTGAGAACAGGGAGAAGCATCCTCGCACTGGACGGGCATGTGAAGTCGGTGCGTTGCGATGGGAGACGAGGATGGGGTTTCCGTGTGTTTATTGGGTCTGTGCTGGTTTTCATGTGCTCTGTGCCGCGTGTGGGACCTGAGATCAGGGAGAAGCATCCTCGCACTGGACGGGCATGTGAAGCCGGTGCGTTGCGATGGGAGACGAGGATGGGGTTTCCGTGTGTTTATTGGGTCTGTGCTGGTTTTCATGTGCTCTGTGCCGCGTGTGGGACCTGAGAACAGGGAGAAGCATCCTCGCACTGGACGGGCATGTGAAGTCGGTGCGTTGCGATGGGAGACGAGGATGGGGTTTCCGTGTGTTTATTGGGTCTGTGCTGGTTTTCATGTGCTCTGTGCCGCGTGTGGGACCTGAGATCAGGGAGAAGCATCCTCGCACTGGACGGGCATGTGAAGCCGGTGCGTTGCGATGGGAGACGAGGATGGGGTTTCCGTGTGTTTATTGGGTCTGTGCTGGTTTTCATGTGCTCTGTGCCGCGTGTGGGACCTGAGATCAGGGAGAAGCATCCTCGCACTGGACGGGCATGTGAAGCCGGTGCGTTGCGATGGGAGACGAGGATGGGGTTTCCGTGTGTTTATTGGGTCTGTGCTGGTTTTCATGTGCTCTGTGCCGCGTGTGGGACCTGAGAACAGGGAGAAGCATCCTCGCACTGGACGGGCATGTGAAGCCGGTGCGTTGCGATGGGAGACGAGGATGGGGTTTCCGTGTGTTTATTGGGTCTGTGCTGGTTTTCATGTGCTCTGTGCCGCGTGTGGGACCTGAGAACAGGGAGAAGCATCCTCGCACTGGACGGGCATATGAAGTCGGTGCGTTGCGATGGGAGACGAGGATGGGGTTTCCGTGTGTTTATTGGGTCTGTGCTGGTTTTCATGTGCTCTGTGCCGCGTGTGGGACCTGAGATCAGGGAGAAGCATCCTCGCACTGGACGGGCATGTGAAGCCGGTGCGTTGCGATGGGAGACGAGGATGGGGTTTCCGTGTGTTTATTTGGTCTGTGCTGGTTTTCATGTGCTCTGTGCCGCGTGTGGGACCTGAGAACAGGGAGAAGCATCCTCGCACTGGACGGGCATGTGAAGCCGGTGCGTTGCGATGGGAGACGAGGATGGGGTTTCCGTGTGTTTATTGGGTCTGTGCTGGTTTTCATGTGCTCTGTGCCGCGTGTGGGACCTGAGAACAGGGAGAAGCATCCTCGCACTGGACGGGCATGTGAAGTCGGTGCGTTGCGATGGGAGACGAGGATGGGGTTTCCGTGTGTTTATTGGGTCTGTGCTGGTTTTCATGTGCTCTGTGCCGCGTGTGGGACCTGAGAACAGGGAGAAGCATCCTCGCACTGGACGGGCATGTGAAGCCGGTGCGTTGCGATGGGAGACGAGGATGGGGTTTCCGTGTGTTTATTGGGTCTGTGCTGGTTTTCATGTGCTCTGTGCCGCGTGTGGGACCTGAGATCAGGTAGAAGCATCCTCGCACTGGACGGGCATGTGAAGCCGGTGCGTTGCGATGGGAGACGAGGATGGGGTTTCCGTGTGTTTATTGGGTCTGTGCTGGTTTCCATGTGCTCTGTGCCGCGTGTGGGACCTGAGATCAGGGAGAAGCATCCTCGCACTGGACGGGCATGTGAAGCCGGTGCGTTGCAATGGGAGACGAGGATGGGGTTTCCGTGTGTTTATTGGGTCTGTGCTGGTTTTCATGTGCTCTGTGCCGCGTGTGGGACCTGAGAACAGGGAGAAGCATCCTCGCACTGGACGGGCATGTGAAGCCGGTGCGTTGCGATGGGAGACGAGGATGGGGTTTCCGTGTGTTTATTGGGTCTGTGCTGGTTTTCATGTGCTCTGTGCCGCGTGTGGGACCTGAGAACAGGGAGAAGCATCCTCGCACTGGACGGGCATGTGAAGTCGGTGCGTTGCGATGGGAGACGAGGATGGGGTTTCCGTGTGTTTATTGGGTCTGTGCTGGTTTTCATGTGCTCTGTGCCGCGTGTGGGACCTGAGAACAGGGAGAAGCATCCTCGCACTGGACGGGCATGTGAAGCCGGTGCGTTGCGATGGGAGACGAGGATGGGGTTTCCGTGTGTTTATTGGGTCTGTGCTGGTTTTCATGTGCTCTGTGCCGCGTGTGGGACCTGAGATCAGGGAGAAGCATCCTCGCACTGGACGGGCATGTGAAGCCGGTGCGTTGCGATGGGAGACGAGGATGGGTTTTCCGTGTGTTTATTGGGTCTGTGCTGGTTTTCATGTGCTCTGTGCCGCGTGTGGGACCTGAGAACAGGGAGAAGCATCCTCGCACTGGACGGGCATGTGAAGCCGGTGCGTTGCGATGGGAGACGAGGATGGGGTTTCCGTGTGTTTATTGGGTCTGTGCTGGTTTTCATGTGCTCTGTGCCGCGTGTGGGACCTGAGATCAGGGAGAAGCATCCTCGCACTGGACGGGCATGTGAAGCCGGTGCGTTGCGATGGGAGACGAGGATGGGGTTTCCGTGTGTTTATTGGGTCTGTGCTGGTTTTCATGTGCTCTGTGCCGCGTGTGGGACCTGAGAACAGGGAGAAGCATCCTCGCACTGGACGGGCATGTGAAGTCGGTGCGTTGCGATGGGAGACGAGGATGGGGTTTCCGTGTGTTTATTGGGTCTGTGCTGGTTTATTTGGCGTGTGCCCTTTCCTCCAACGGGTTGACTTTTGAGTCGACTCAAAAGTGCCAGCATCCTGGCGTGTGCCCTTTCCTCCAACGGGTTGACTTTTGAGTCGACTCAAAAGTGCCAGCATCCTGGCGTGTGCCCTTTCCTCCAACGGTTACCATCTAGCCATGGGAGGGTGAGGGGGAGGGTTACCCATCAACTCAAAAGTCACCACTCCTTCAACAGAGACCACCTAGCTAGCCATGGGAGGGGTGGGCCACACATGCCGCCCCCTATTCATGTCTCCTTCTCCCATTCCCGATTCCCTGCCCGCCCCCTCCCTTTCAGCACCTAGCATGCGACTTCCCCAACGGTTACCATCTAGCAACAGGAGGGGAGGACCACACATGCCGCGTGTGGGACCTGCGGCAATGCAGGAAACACACTTGTGTCTTCTCTCCCTCATTCCCTGTTCCCCCTCTCCTCCCTTGTCCCCCCCGTCTTCCCTATCAGCTCCTTGCATGTGATTTTTCCCCCAACGGCTACCACCTAGCAACAGGAGGCGAGGACCACACATGCCGCGTGTGGGACCTGAGAAGATGCAGGAAGGGCATGGGAGGTGGAGGGGGAGGGGGAGCAGGGGGGGCGGAGGGGAGTGGCGGCAGCCTGTATGTGATCCCGGCTCACACGCGGCTGGTGTCGGTGGTGCGGTATGAACCCAGGGAGGGTCTGCTGCTTCTCACCGCTGGCTATGATAACACTGCCAAGGTGAGCGGTGCAGTGCGGTAATGGGGAGTGGTGCGGTGCGGTAATGGGAGTGGTGCAGTGCGGTGATTATGGGTGGGAGTGGGGGCAGTAGCCTGTATGTGACTGCAGAGGGGAGTGTCGGCAGCCTGTATGTGATTCCAGCTCACACGCGGCTGGTGTCGGTGGTGCGGTATGAACCCAGGGAGGGGCTGATGCTGCTCACTGCCACCTTTGATTACCAAAGCCAAGGTGAGGGTAGGTGGAGTGGAGGGATTGTCGTGAAGGTGATTGTAGCGAAGTAGAGTGGTGCAGTGCACTCCTCCCCTTGTTCCCCCATCCACCTTTTCTCTTCCCTTCTCACCCATCTCCCCTCCTACAACCCCCCCCCCCCCCCCCTTCTTATCATCTCACAATTGTTGTCAGGGCGGGACTTCAAGCCGGTCAAGGTGCTGACAGGGCACGGGGGGGGGGGGAGGGGAAGATGATGGTTGATGCCTGAGCACACTCAAACCCCTCACCCCTCCGCCCTCTCTCCCCCTCCCTCCCCCTCTCCACCCCCGTTCCCCCCCTCCTATTTTATCATCTCATGGTCGGGACAGGACTTGAAGCCAGTGAAGGTGCTGGCAGGGCAGGGCACTGAGAGGGGAGCCAGTGAAGGTGCTGGCAGGGCAGGGCACTGAGAGGGGAGCCAGTGAAGGTGCTGGCAGGGCACTGAGAGGGGAGCCAGTGAAGGTGCTGGCAGGGCACTGAGAGGGGAGATCATTCCAGAGGGCACCCAAACCCCTCACTCGTCCCCCTTCCCCACTCCCCCTCCCTCCCCCTACCCCTCACTCGTCCCCCTTCCCCACTCCCCCTCCCTCCCCCTACCCCTCACTCGTCCCCCTTCCCCACTCCCCCTCCCTCCCCCTACCCCTCACTCGTCCCCCTTCCCCACTCCCCCTCCCTCCCCCTACCCCTCACTCGTCCCCCTTCCCCACTCCCCCTCTCTCCTTCCCCACTATATCACAGGTATGTTCGGCACAAAACTTAAAGCCGGTGAAGGGGTGTTGGCAGGGCACGAGGGGGGAGATGACTGTTGATCCTTAAGCCTGCTCAACAATCCCACTAATCCTCCATCCCCCGTCTCCCTCCCTCCTCCCCCCTCCCCCTGGTAACCCTGTTACAGGTGTGGTCGGGGCGGGACTTCAAGCCCGTGAAGGTGCTGGCAGGGCACGAGGGCAAGGTCATGGGTGCTGACGTGGCAGCAGGTGAGGGGATGGACATGGGTGCTGACGTGGCAGCAGGTGAGGGATGGCAATGGGTGCTGACGTGGCAGTAGGTGATGGGATGATGATGAGTGCTGATGTGGCAGTAGGTGATGGGATGGTGATGAATGCTGACGTGGCAGCAGGTCTTATGGGCAGCCAGAAGTTGGGATTGAAGGTCTATTGGAATTTTGGGATCGATTGCGTGGGGGGGAGGGGGAGGAGGGGGGTGAGAGAGGAGGTGGGGGGAAGGCTGGTGGTGGGGGCGGCAAACCAAGATGAGGCCATGGCCATGGTGTTTCAGTCCCTCTTTTATGATTCTCTCGTATTTTACCAATGTCTATCTCTGCTGTTTCCCTCGTTTCTGTTATAATCGTTTCTTCTCAGACGGGCAATGCATCGCCACGGCGTCTTATGATCGGACCATTAAACTATGGGGTAATGATGATGCTGGGGCTACACCCATGTTGCGATGATGCGTATGGGTCCTTTGAAGTGTTCGAAGGTAAATAAGAGATCAACGCTTGGCTGATATTCTTTGGCTCTGGTGAAAGTACTGGAAGATATTGAGACTAGCATAAAAGATGGAGTGAAAATGTATTCATCATCATTTCAAAATCCATATTCAGGCTTTACCATAGACAAGCTGGCTGGGTGAGAAGTTGTTATCAGTGACAAGCTTGTCCTTGGGCATGCAATGTGATCTCCGTGGAATCTTTGTGTACTTGCCTAAATGCTTCAGTTCAATATCAAGATGCGAGAGTTAATAAATATATACATGTTTTGAATCACAAGCTATAACATAATCGCAGGAGATTCGTCCAGTGTAGGTGGTAAGGTATTGTATATCTCGGGAAATGCACAGTGCACACTGGAAAACCAAACTCTCGGTTTAATTGTCAGCACCACGTGCACTCTTATCTCCTAGTACACGTGGTCATGCGGGAACGAATACGAAGTCGGCAGCTTGACATGTTCCACCCTAGATTGTGGAGCCACATGCGCGCCACTGAATCTCGAAATTGGCGTGCAATAAATCATGATGCCAACACGTTCCTTAGATTTTATTCTTGATGGTTATGGCAATCAACATGTCCTGGTTCAAGGGAATCATTCGCAATTACCTTTGTTTGGATTCCCTGACCTGAGCAAACCCCTTTTGCTGACCTGTTCGCGCGTTTCGCCAGCCCACGTGACGTAACTTGTTGGACAACTTGACGCGCTAATTCCTTTCGTTGACCTGGCGCAAACAAGTGAATCCACGAATCACGGCTCTTGCGGGAGTCGAAAGGCCTGGCTGATGTGAACCTCACGAAGCTGACATGGGTACCTGAACCGTCCAGCGTGGCAGCCGCAACCTCTGGTGTGGTCCCTCTTTAGCCATGCTGGCTTGCACGTGCTTCGTGGCTCTTCGCGATTGTCATGCGCTTTCATCCACGATGGCGTTTAGTTGGCCGAAGGAACAACTTGGGAAAGCAGGGACAGCAACCAACCCACCAAAACCCTAGCTAGTCCCCCATGTGCTGGCGTCCGTTTTTACAGGCATGTTTCGTGTCGGTTATTCCAGGTCTACGCAACCCCTCCGCCTTCAGTCACATCAACGCGTTTCCCCCAGCCCAGTTACTGTATTCCCTTCCCTCCCCTTCCCCCTTCCCTCACGCAGTCCCCTAATCCCCCTCTCCCCTCCCCCATTTTCCCACACTACACTCCCACCAACTGAAGTTTATGGGACTTTCAACGCCAACAGGGGACCCCACTGCACCAGCCTCATTGTCACCCAACCCAATCCACTCACCGGTTGTCCAGTCACTTTTACCGATCGCACAAACTCTCCTCCTCGAGTCCTTTTTCGTTACAGGCACAAGTCCCCCCGGAACGATACACCCTAGCCACCCCCCCCAGAGAATCTAGGATTTCCGACTCCTCATGGACAGCTCGACTCCTCGGACTTGTGACAGCAACTTGCCTTGGAGGGAGCCAACTTCACCTTCTCCTTCCCTTGATTGATACTTGTGCCATTTCCACTCTGCCGCATCAATTTTATAATAAATTGCCTCACTCACATACTGGCCCTGGGAAGTGTTGTCTGGCAAATCCGTTCTCTAAGAGGTGTTCTTTCAAACGACCAGATGTGTCTGTCGTTAAGCTCAACGCCCTTTCGGCAGTCAGACGAACCATTTCACGTGCCTAAAAAATCCATCAGGCGATAGTACCACGTGCTTGCCCTTATATAAAAAAATCATGGTCGGCATGTCTCCCCTACGCTTTTCGCCGTCTCCGTCCCATAAGGGCTCCTGGATTGGTAGTAATTGTCCAGCATGTTCCAAGTTGATACATAACGAAGATCAGGGAATTATTAAGACCAGTCCCTTAGCCTCTCCTAAAAGTACAATGCCGCCACCAGTGAAGAAGAAGAACAACCCTCTCGCTTTAACTATCTCCCGGTTGTTCAAGAAGTCAGCTGCAATCCCTTTATCTCCCCGTAGTTTAGAGATGCCGGAAGGGAAGATGGAGACGGCGATCAACGAGGTTTTGAGCGGCGGTAGTTGGAGCAAGGACGAGGAAGAGCAATTGAGGATCCATTTCAAGTCCCTCCCCCCTCGGTACGTCTTAGGATACGAACGTGCCATCGTCCACGATCTGTTGTTTTTTACGCCATCACCCTTTAGGCGCTTTTGTTTTCGTTGATTACCTACTAATTAGCATCCCTTTTCATCTTTCCCTGTGTTCGTTTCTGACAGGTACGCAGCCATGTGTTACTCTTCCGAAGCAGTGAGGAGCCACATGGCCTTGCTTAAAGAAGCATCAGGCTTGAAGGAGGGGATACCGGCAATCCGATTGGACGTGAACAACGGCGAGCTTGACGCTTTCATGGAGGACGAGAGCGAAACGGACGACTCCTTCTCATCGGCCGGCGGTATCTCGCTCTCGTCTTGCCTCGAGGATTCGTTATCGTCCAGCCGGACCGAGGTCACGTTCGCATGCAGCACCCACGTCTGTCGCAGCAACATCTCCTCGGCATTTCACAGATCTGGCATTCGTGTTTTCGGAATTTACACGTACGACACGGTTTCGGGTGCAACCCTCGGCCATTTCTACATCCGAGCGTCCATTTCTCACATTTCCAAAAAGCAGATTGAGGATCTTCTTGCATCGGCTATCAAAAGACCTCCCAGAGGCCTTGGGATTCAGGAAACCCTTTCAAATTTCATGAGCAAGGCCAGTCCGAGACACAGCAGCTTCGCCGATGGAGACAACAGTCAGAGGTCCAATCTGGGCTCTGTTCCTTCGTCACCTTCTCCGAGCTTCACTTCCAAGCAGGGTTCGCAGTCCGGGAAGGACATGCTGGAAGTGCTGCTGTGCGAGAAGGGAGCCATGAAGAAGAAGCTTGGTAGCTTTATTCTTGATCCGCTTCGGCTGTCCATGGGACCGGTGATTGCTGTTGGAGCGTCAGGCGAAGTCAGGAAGGGGACGTACGATGGAGAAACCGTCGCCGTTAAAGTGCTGAAAGGAGAGGGTAAAGACCCTTACGCGAATGTTGCGGAGTTTCGCCGGGAGGTGGTAACCCTAATGTCATGCGGCCAGTGTCCGCAGCTTTTGAAGTTTCTCGGTGTCTGCGTCGACTTTCGACAACGAATATGCATTGTTACAAAGTTCATGGAAGGAGGGACTCTGAACGACCTGCTCAGGCGACGCCAGGGCAAGGGTTTGCCTCTCAACGACGCAGTGAGCGTCGCGCGCGACGTCTCACAAGCCATGGCGTTTCTTCACAAGAACGGAATGATTCACCGCGATTTGAAATCCGCGAATATTCTCTTAGATAAGGAGGGTCACGCAGTGGTGGGAGATTTCGGCGTGGCCAGACTAAAAGGAGAGCGAGGGGAGATGACCAAGGAAGTCGGAACCTACAGATGGATGGCTCCTGAAGCCTTCGGCACGAGTCCATGGCCGGTCACCCATAAAGCCGATGTCTACAGTTTCGGAATTGTTCTGTGGGAGGTTTTAACAGGGGGAGTGCCGTTCGCTGATTATTCCCCGCTGCAAGCTGCTGTGGCTGTTGCTCTTAACGGAGCTCGTCCGAGTATTCCGGAATCGGTGCCGGAATCGCTTCGCTCGCTGATTGAACAGTGCTGGGACAAGACCCCCAAGGAAAGACCAGAGTTCAGCGAGATTTTGTCTGAGCTTGACCGGATTGCTAAGGACATTCAGCAGCAGTAAGAGTTTCTCTTAGCTAAACCGGCCAAGGTCAACCAATTTTGAGGCAAGGCCATCCAGATTTTCCCGTCCTGGTTGAGCCCTTGCCTTGTCTTTTTCAGTGTACAGCTCCTCTCTTCAGATGGGACCAGCTTCTCCCGTGCAGGTGTTACAGCAGCTCAGCAGTAACCCCCCCAATTTTGTAGGAATCAACATCTTGTTTGAAGAATTTACGGTAGCGTGCCACAGCCAGTAACTGGTGTACCATGTTGATGCTAACATGCGATTTATTCAAAGTGTGCAAGGATGTGAAAGATACCTACTGTATGTTATGGTGTTTTTTCTGTGACTATTGCACTAAACTGAAGACTTGAGACTAGTGTATGAGGGGAAGAAGTGTGGCATTGACCTGTGTGTTCGCAAGAAGAGTCTGCTTTGCAGGATAGCCTTTTATGATGGCACGCTAAAGTGCACTCACATCCGAGTGTCTCACATGTTTTCTCAGCTGCTGAGACATGCTACAGCTGTCTAAACGTTTTTCCACTGCACATTTCTTGGCTAATTACTGAAATAGCCGTGATTCCTAACGCAGCAGCAGCACCCCTATTCAACATGCGTCATCTGATACATCATTGCAGCCCATACACATCCACCCGCATTCCATCCCCACCAGCAAACAGCAGCCGCCGCCCATGCGCCCACTTGATATCATGATACCGCCCGGGCTGCCGCCCATCCTGAAACCCCCCTGCCAGCCTGGCGCTGCCTCCACCACTCGGGCCCACACTGCCGCTCAAATCAGCCAAGTACAATCCCCGCACAGTGCTCACGGCGACGACACCTGGCAGCATGCTACTGGCCAGCTTGAGAATGGGGGATTCGTCCAGGTTCAGCGAACCGAGAGGCGGGGAGTTCCCGAGGGAGTGCAGGGAGCGCAGGTCCCAGAGCTTTAGGTAACCATCCATGCCTCCTGATGCCACTGTAACAGATGCTGGGCATGCGTCCAATGCGGTTACCATACCCGCATGGGCCTGGGGCCGACCCGAGGGGGAAGGGGAGCCAAGGAGAGCTGGAGGGGGGAGAAGGGAGCATGGGGGGGTGGAGCAGGGAAGGGGAGAGCGGGGGGAAAGTGGGGAGAGGGAGGAATGTGATGCGGAAGGTGACTCGGAAGGTGACTTGAAAGTCTACTCAAAAGTCACCTCGTGAGGAATGTGATACGGAAGGTGGAATCATTTGGTGCCATGGTGGGATGTTGCAGAGTCTAGAGTATGAGAAACGCTGGTACGTTTTTCTGAGTCGACTAAAAAATCGATAGAGCAGGGTCTAGATTACGATATACGAAGATGCGGACGAACAACGTTGGAAGCACGGCGGTCCCGCAGGCGAATGGTGGCATCGCGAGAGGTGATTGGTTGATTAGCGGGTAAGTAAAGTGTGACTAGGGTGGATCTTAGGGTGGTGAATTAAACGTACCAACAGCATTGGAAGCGCGGCGGTCCCAGAGGCGAATGGTGGTGTCCCGAGACGCAGAGAGGAAGAGGTTGGGGTTGGGGGGGAAGACTGTGAGACACGTGATGAGGTCCTGGGATGGTTAAAGGGGAGGTGGGGTGGGGGGGAAAGGAAGAAAGTGAAACAAGTAGCACGAGGCAGAGAGGAAGAGGTTGGGGTGTGGGGGGGGAAGACTGTCAGACACGTGATGAGTTCCTGTGATGGGCAGGAGGGGAGAAGGGTGGGAAAAAGAAAGAGAGCGAGACAAATGGTATGAGGTGCAGAGGAAGAGTTTGGGGTTGGGGGGGAAGGGGAAGACTGTCAGACACGTGATGAGGTCCTGGGATGGGCAGGAGGGGGAGGAGGGAAGGACGAAAAGGAAAAATTCACGAGCTTAGCCCGATCCGATTTTAAGGCGCCTGAAATATGGCCGCCGTGCCTCTCACTCACCTGCCCAGCCCCTCATATCCAGCAACTATCCCGACTCCCCCTGGTGACTCAAAAGTCAACTCAAAAGTCACCCCCTTAAGGCGCCTCAAATATGGGCGCCGTGCCTCTCACTCACCTGCCCAGCCCCTCACATCCAGTAGCTATCCCGACCCCACCTACCCAGCCTTCCTTTTTTTAGTCGACTCAAAACTAGGCCTCTCACTCACCTGCCCAGCCCCTCACATCCAGCAGCTATCCCGACCCCACCTGTCCAGCCCTCCTAGTCTCACCTCGTGCTCCGTGTACTGTCTGACCGGGTGCAGGCTGGAAAAGGGCGCCCCTGTGAGGTCTTAGCAGCAGATGCGGTCACACAGCGAGGTGGGAGAGGGAACCAAGATGCAAGGAAGACCTTTGAGGCGCCTCAAAAGCTGCACCACACCTGCTCTATATTGCACTCACCTCGTGCTCCATGTACTGTCTGACGGGGTGCAGGCTTGGGAATGGCGCCCCTGTGAGGTCGTAGCAGCAGATGCGGTCGCACAGCGAGGTGGGAGAGGGAAAGAAGATGCGAGAAGCCCCTACCATGGCGGGTGGTTTAGCCTGGCCTACTCGCTTGCACTCACCTCGTGCTCCGTGTACTGCCTGACGGGGTGCAGGCTTGAGAAGGGCGCCCCTGTGAGGTCGTAGCAGCAGATGCGGTCTCGAGGGGAGGCAGGAGAGCCGTTGGATGAAGCCATGCTTTCGGCTGTGATGAACGCCAGGTCGGGGTGAATGCCGATTGTCTGGTGTGTTGTGAGATGGCGAGACATGAAGAGAGGTGAAGAGAGGTGAAGAGAGATGAAGAGAGGTGAAGAGAGATGAAGAGAGGTGAAGAGAGATGAAGAGAGGTGAAGAGAGATGAAGAGAGGTGAAGAGAGATGAAGAGAGGTGAAGAGAGATGAAGAGAGGTGAAGAGAGATGAAGAGAGGTGAAGAGAGATGAAGAGAGGTGAAGAGAGATGAAGAGAGGTGAAGAGAGATGAAGAGAGGTGAAGCGAGAGAGGAGGGAGGGATGGGAGGAGAGCCATCGGATGGAGACATGCTCTCTGTCGTGGTGAACGCCAGGTCTGGGTGAATGCCGACGGCCTGATGAGGGTAGAGAGCGGTGAAGAGGCGTGAAGAGAGGTGAAGACTGGTGAAGGGAGATAGAGAGGAAAATGGGGAGAGAGAGAGAGAGAGACCGTTCGAGAGAGGAGGGAGGGACGGAAGATAAGCCGTGGGATGGAGCCATTCTCTTGGCTGTCATTAAGGCCATGTCTGGATGGGTGCCGACCGCCTGGTGGTGTCGATGTGGGGTGAGCAAGGGTGTGGTAGGTGGAGTGCAGGGATGTGGGTAGGGGCACATCCCACCAGGATACAAGCACACTCTTTACAAGCACACCTCTTCACAAGCACACCACTTCACAAGCACACCTCTTCACAAGCACACCACTTCACAAGCACACCTCTTCACAAGCACACCTTGATACATGATATCACACTCGTCTGGTTGCGATCCAGCCGTCCTGTCACTTGCCACCCCCCTCCTCCCCCTCCCCCTGCCACTCCTCCTCCCCCTGCCGCCTCGTCCCCTGTGAGTTGCAGGATGCAAGGGGCGACAGGGTTAGCAGCTGGTTGACCCTCGCTCATGTCGTCCTGCCGTGGGACGGGCGGGGAAACAGAGAACAGAAAAGGACATTTGTTTCTGGAGCCCCAACAGCCACCCTCCCCCTGCCTGCCCCTGCCGCCTCGTCCCCTGTGAGTTGCAGGATGCAAGGGGCAACGGGGTGGGAGGCCGGTTGACCCTCGCTCATGTCGTCCTGATGTGGGTAGGACGGGGAATCAGAGAACAGGGATTTTTTTTTTTTTTTAGCCCCAACACCTGCCACCCTCCCCCTCCCCCTCCCCCTGCCCCTCCCCTCCCCCTCCCCCTGCCCCTCCCCCTCCCCCTCCCCCTGCCCCTGCCCCTGCCCCTGCCCCTGCCCCTGCCCCTGCCCCTGCCCCTGCCCCTGCCCCTGCCCCTGCCCCTGCCCCTGCCCCTGCCCCTGCCCCTGCCCCTGCCCCTGCCCCTGCCCCTGCCCCTTCATCCACTGTGAGTTGCAAGGGGCAACGGGGTGAGAGGCTGGCTCACCCTCGCTCATGTCGTCCTGACGTCAAAAGGGGAGGGGATGGAGAGAGGGAGTGGAAGAATAAACAGGTTCGGAAAAAGAAGAAGAAATTAAGATATGGCTAGTGAGGCTTTTTCCGGAGAAAAAGATACATCTGATTACAAATGAAAGAAGGTTTTTGAGATGTCTCAAAAGTCGAAAGAAAGAAGGTGCGACAGGATACCTCATTTATGACAGATTTATTTATGTTTTTTGGATAAACTGTAAGGCTGCACTGCCCTCACTCTTGTTCGCTGGCAGGCACAGCCTCCGTATCAACACACACTCACTCTTGTTCGCTGGCAGGCACAGCCTCCGTATCAACACACACTCACTCTTGTTCGCTGGCAGGCACAGCCTCCGTATCAACACGCACTCACTCTTGTTCGCTGGCAGGCACAGCCTCCGTATCAACACACACTCACTCTTGTTCGCTGGCAGGCACAGCCTCCGTATCAACACACACTCACTCTTGTTCGCTGGCAGGCACAGCCTCCTATTAACACACACTCACTCTTGTTCGCTGGCAGGCACAGCCTCCGTATCAACACACACTCACTCTTGTTCGCTGGCAGGCACAGCCTCCGTATCAACACACACTCACTCTTGTTCGCTGGCAGGCACAGCCTCCGTATCAACACACACTCACTCTTGTTCGCTGGCAGGCACAGCCTCCGCATCAACACACACTCACTCTTGTTCGCTGGCAGGCACAGCCTCCGTATCAACACGCACTCACTCTTGTTCGCTGGCAGGCACAGCCTCCGTATCAACACACACTCACTCTTGTTCGCTGGCAGGCACAGCCTCCGTATCAACACACACTCACTCTTGTTCGCTGGCAGGCACAGCCTCCGTATCAACACACACTCACTCTTGTTCGCTGGCAGGCACAGCCTCCGTATCAACACGCACTCACTCTTGTTCGCTGGCAGGCACAGCCTCCGTATCAACACACACTCACTCTTGTTCGCTGGCAGGCACAGCCTCCGTATCAACACACACTCACTCTTGTTCGCTGGCAGGCACAGCCTCCGTATCAACACACACTCACTCTTGTTCGCTGGCAGGCACAGCCTCCGTATCAACACACACTCACTCTTGTTCGCTGGCAGGCACAGCCTCCGTATCAACACACACTCACTCTTGTTCGCTGGCAGGCACAGCCTCCGTATCAACACACACTCACTCTTGTTCGCTGGCAGGCACAGCCTCCGTATCAACACACACTCACTCTTGTTCGCTGGCAGGCACAGCCTCCGTATCAACACACACTCACTCTTGTTCGCTGGCAGGCACAGCCTCCGTATCAACACGCACTCACTCTTGTTCGCTGGCACGCACAGCCTCCGTATCAACACACACTCACTCTTGTTCGCTGGCAGGCACAGCCTCCGTATCAACACACACTCACTCTTGTTCGCTGGCAGGCACAGCCTCCGTATCAACACACACTCACTCTTGTTCGCTGGCAGGCACAGCCTCCGTATCAACACACACTCACTCTTGTTCGCTGGCAGGCACAGCCTCCGTATCAACATACACTCACTCTTGTTCGCTGGCAGGCACAGCCTCCGTATCAACACACACTCACTCTTGTTCGCTGGCAGGCACAGCCTCCGTATCAACACACACTCACTCTTGTTCGCTGGCAGGCACAGCCTCCGTATCAACACACACTCACTCTTGTTCGCTGGCAGGCACAGCCTCCGTATCAACACACACTCACTCTTGTTCGCTGGCAGGCACAGCCTCCGTATCAACACACACTCACTCTTGTTCGCTGGCAGGCACAGCCTCCGTATCAACACACACTCACTCTTGTTCGCTGGCAGGCACAGCCTCCGTATCAACACACACTCACTCTTGTTCGCTGGCAGGCACAGCCTCCGTATCAACACGCACTCACTCTTGTTCGCTGGCACGCACAGCCTCCGTATCAACACACACTCACTCTTGTTCGCTGGCAGGCACAGCCTCCGTATCAACACACACTCACTCTTGTTCGCTGGCAGGCACAGCCTCCGTATCAACACGCACTCACTCTTGTTCGCTGGCAGGCACAGCCTCCGTATCAACACACACTCACTCTTGTTCGCTGGCAGGCACAGCCTCCGTATCAACACACACTCACTCTTGTTCGCTGGCAGGCACAGCCTCCGTATCAACACGCACTCACTCTTGTTCGCTGGCAGGCACAGCCTCCGTATCAACACACACTCACTCTTGTTCGCTGGCAGGCACAGCCTCCGTATCAACACACACTCACTCTTGTTCGCTGGCAGGCACAGCCTCCGTATCAACACACACTCACTCTTGTTCGCTGGCAGGCACAGCCTCCGTATCAACACACACTCACTCTTGTTCGCTGGCAGGCACAGCCTCCGTATCAACACACACTCACTCTTGTTCGCTGGCAGGCACAGCCTCCGTATCAACACACACTCACTCTTGTTCGCTGGCAGGCACAGCCTCCGTATCAACACACACTCACTCTTGTTCGCTGGCAGGCACAGCCTCCGTATCAACACACACTCACTCTTGTTCGCTGGCAGGCACAGCCTCCGTATCAACACACACTCACTCTTGTTCGCTGGCAGGCACAGCCTCCGTATCAACACACACTCACTCTTGTTCGCTGGCAGGCACAGCCTCCGTATCGACACACACTCACTCTTGTTCGCTGGCAGGCACAGCCTCCGTATCAACACACACTCACTCTTGTTCGCTGGCAGGCACAGCCTCCGTATCAACACACACTCACTCTTGTTCGCTGGCAGGCACAGCCTCCGTATCAACACACACTCACTCTTGTTCGCTGGCAGGCACAGCCTCCGTATCAACACGCACTCACTCTTGTTCGCTGGCAGGCACAGCCTCCGTATCAACACGCACTCACTCTTGTTCGCTGGCACGCACAGCCTCCGTATCAACACACACTCACTCTTGTTCGCTGGCAGGCACAGCCTCCGTATCAACACACACTCACTCTTGTTCGCTGGCAGGCACAGCCTCCGTATCAACACACACTCACTCTTGTTCGCTGGCAGGCACAGCCTCCGTATCAACACACACTCACTCTTGTTCGCTGGCAGGCACAGCCTCCGTATCAACATACACTCACTCTTGTTCGCTGGCAGGCACAGCCTCCGTATCAACACACACTCACTCTTGTTCGCTGGCAGGCACAGCCTCCGTATCAACACACACTCACTCTTGTTCGCTGGCAGGCACAGCCTCCGTATCAACACACACTCACTCTTGTTCGCTGGCAGGCACAGCCTCCGTATCAACACACACTCACTCTTGTTCGCTGGCAGGCACAGCCTCCGTATCAACACACACTCACTCTTGTTCGCTGGCAGGCACAGCCTCCGTATCAACACGCACTCACTCTTGTTCGCTGGCAGGCACAGCCTCCGTATCAACACGCACTCACTCTTGTTCGCTGGCACGCACAGCCTCCGTATCAACACGCACTCACTCTTGTTCGCTGGCACGCACAGCCTCCGTATCAACACACACTCACTCTTGTTCGCTGGCAGGCACAGCCTCCGTATCAACACACACTCACTCTTGTTCGCTGGCAGGCACAGCCTCCGTATCAACACACACTCACTCTTGTTCGCTGGCAGGCACAGCCTCCGTATCAACACACACTCACTCTTGTTCGCTGGCAGGCACAGCCTCCGTATCAACACACACTCACTCTTGTTCGCTGGCAGGCACAGCCTCCGTATCAACACACACTCACTCTTGTTCGCTGGCAGGCACAGCCTCCGTATCAACACACACTCACTCTTGTTCGCTGGCAGGCACAGCCTCCGTATCAACACACACTCACTCTTGTTCGCTGGCAGGCACAGCCTCCGTATCAACATACACTCACTCTTGTTCGCTGGCAGGCACAGCCTCCGTATCAACACACACTCACTCTTGTTCGCTGGCAGGCACAGCCTCCGTATCAACACACACTCACTCTTGTTCGCTGGCAGGCACAGCCTCCGTATCAACACACACTCACTCTTGTTCGCTGGCAGGCACAGCCTCCGTATCAACACGCACTCACTCTTGTTCGCTGGCACGCACAGCCTCCGTATCAACACACACTCACTCTTGTTCGCTGGCAGGCACAGCCTCCGTATCAACACACACTCACTCTTGTTCGCTGGCAGGCACAGCCTCCGTATCAACACACACTCACTCTTGTTCGCTGGCAGGCACAGCCTCCGTATCAACACACACTCACTCTTGTTCGCTGGCAGGCACAGCCTCCGTATCAACACGCACTCACTCTTGTTCGCTGGCACGCACAGCCTCCGTATCAACACACACTCACTCTTGTTCGCTGGCAGGCACAGCCTCCGTATCAACACACACTCACGCTTGTTCGCTGGCAGGCACAGCCTCCGTATCAACACGCACTCACTCTTGTTCGCTGGCACGCACAGCCTCCGTATCAACACACACTCACTCTTGTTCGCTGGCAGGCACAGCCTCCGTATCAACACACACTCACTCTTGTTCGCTGGCAGGCACAGCCTCCGTATCAACACGCACTCACTCTTGTTCGCTGGCAGGCACAGCCTCCGTATCAACACACACTCACTCTTGTTCGCTGGCAGGCACAGCCTCCGTATCAACACACACTCACTCTTGTTCGCTGGCAGGCACAGCCTCCGTATCAACACGCACTCACTCTTGTTCGCTGGCAGGCACAGCCTCCGTATCAACACACACTCACTCTTGTTCGCTGGCAGGCACAGCCTCCGTATCAACACACACTCACTCTTGTTCGCTGGCAGGCACAGCCTCCGTATCAACACACACTCACTCTTGTTCGCTGGCAGGCACAGCCTCCGTATCAACACACACTCACTCTTGTTCGCTGGCAGGCACAGCCTCCGTATCAACACACACTCACTCTTGTTCGCTGGCAGGCACAGCCTCCGTATCAACACACACTCACTCTTGTTCGCTGGCAGGCACAGCCTCCGTATCAACACACACTCACTCTTGTTCGCTGGCAGGCACAGCCTCCGTATCAACACACACTCACTCTTGTTCGCTGGCAGGCACAGCCTCCGTATCAACACACACTCACTCTTGTTCGCTGGCAGGCACAGCCTCCGTATCAACACACACTCACTCTTGTTCGCTGGCAGGCACAGCCTCCGTATCAACACACACTCACTCTTGTTCGCTGGCAGGCACAGCCTCCGTATCAACACACACTCACTCTTGTTCGCTGGCAGGCACAGCCTCCGTATCAACACACACTCACTCTTGTTCGCTGGCAGGCACAGCCTCCGTATCAACACACACTCACTCTTGTTCGCTGGCAGGCACAGCCTCCGTATCAACACACACTCACTCTTGTTCGCTGGCAGGCACAGCCTCCGTATCAACACACACTCACTCTTGTTCGCTGGCAGGCACAGCCTCCGTATCGACACACACTCACTCTTGTTCGCTGGCAGGCACAGCCTCCGTATCAACACACACTCACTCTTGTTCGCTGGCAGGCACAGCCTCCGTATCAACACACACTCACTCTTGTTCGCTGGCAGGCACAGCCTCCGTATCAACACACACTCACTCTTGTTCGCTGGCAGGCACAGCCTCCGTATCAACACGCACTCACTCTTGTTCGCTGGCAGGCACAGCCTCCGTATCAACACGCACTCACTCTTGTTCGCTGGCACGCACAGCCTCCGTATCAACACACACTCACTCTTGTTCGCTGGCAGGCACAGCCTCCGTATCAACACACACTCACTCTTGTTCGCTGGCAGGCACAGCCTCCGTATCAACACGCACTCACTCTTGTTCGCTGGCAGGCACAGCCTCCGTATCAACACACACTCACTCTTGTTCGCTGGCAGGCACAGCCTCCGTATCAACACACACTCACTCTTGTTCGCTGGCAGGCACAGCCTCCGTATCAACACACACTCACTCTTGTTCGCTGGCAGGCACAGCCTCCGTATCAACACGCACTCACTCTTGTTCGCTGGCAGGCACAGCCTCCGTATCAACACACACTCACTCTTGTTCGCTGGCAGGCACAGCCTCCGTATCAACACACACTCACTCTTGTTCGCTGGCAGGCACAGCCTCCGTATCAACACACACTCACTCTTGTTCGCTGGCAGGCACAGCCTCCGTATCAACACACACTCACTCTTGTTCGCTGGCAGGCACAGCCTCCGTATCAACACACACTCACTCTTGTTCGCTGGCAGGCACAGCCTCCGTATCAACACACACTCACTCTTGTTCGCTGGCAGGCACAGCCTCCGTATCAACACACACTCACTCTTGTTCGCTGGCAGGCACAGCCTCCGTATCAACACACACTCACTCTTGTTCGCTGGCAGGCACAGCCTCCGTATCAACACACACTCACTCTTGGAGCAGCAGCGAGCAGCAGCGAGGGGGGCGAGTATAGAAGGTCCATTCCACACACGTAGTGCGAGCCGAGCAGGAGGGACTGACGGGGCTGCGTTGGGGAGAGAGAGAAGAAGGGTAACAAGTGGAGAGAGGGATAGGGCAGCAAATGTAGAAGGTCCATGGCGTACACATAGTCCAAAGCAAGCATGTACACATGTGAAGGTCCATGCCACACATTCCAAGAGAGGGCGGGATGTGGAGATCCATGCTGTACACATAGTGCGAGCCGAGCAGGGGCCTGTATTCGCCCCTGCCTGCCATCCACCTCCACTGATAAAAGAGATGGAGGTGTTCCGTCTCAAAACATCTCTTTTATCACCGAGGAGGGGCCTGTATTCGCCCCTGCCTGCCATCACAACCATCCCAACTATCATACCTTGTTGTTGTTGCCCACCTTTCCTTACCCCATGCACTCACCCACCTTGCCGTCGCCCCCCCACATGATGAGGCTGCCGTCCATCGCTGCACTCCAGGTCGCCCCTCCCAATGCCATCCCAAGTTCATAAGCATTACCCCATGCACTCACCCACCTTGCCATCACCCCCCCACATGATGAGGCTGCCGTCCATCGCTGCACTCCAGGTCGCACCACTGTTGTTGTCCACCCCCACTGCCAGGATGGTGTGCTGATGCCCGTGGTAGGAGTCGACCGGGACCAGCATGGCTGGTAGGAGGAACAGGGAGACACACACAAGGAAACTGGGATGAATGGTGGTGTGTTGTTGTCGTCCCCTCCTGCTGCCGTCCACCCCCACTGCCAGGATGGTGTGCTGATGGCCGTGGTAGGAGTCGACTGGGAACAGCATGGCTGATAGGAAGAGATGACGAGCATGGGAGGGAGGCAAACACAGGGGGCAGGGAGCAGGGACGGGGTGGGCGAGAGACTCGCATGGTCGCTCCCTGTTGCCATCCCACACCCCAACTGCCAGCATGGTGTGCTGATGGCCGTGGTAGGAGTCGAGTGGAACCAACATGGCTGATCTGATAGGAACAAAAGAACAAGGGATAGACACACAAGGAAACAGGGATGAAGGGTGGGTGAGGGTGAGTTACTAGCCTAGCTGGTTCGTACCTAACCAAAGCCCACCAGTGCTGTCAGAACATGCTCATCCACTGCACCGCGCCGCTCTGCACTGCACCACAACGCTCTGCACTGCACCACACCGCTCTGCACTGCACCAGGACGTGCTTATACCAGCGCTTGAATGACGTGCAGATATGAAGGTGCGGTGTGGTGAGTTCAGAGCTCATGCCAAAGCACTCTCTCTTTCATATGGTTCGACCAAGAACCTGACACAACCTGCAAACAGCAGGACTCGAACCCCTCACCTTTCCTCTGACACCACTGGAACATTCCAGCTTCCAAACAGCATTCAAATGTGAGTTAATCAGGCAACATACTTGGGTTGTTAGAGGGACCGGTGGACTGAGATGGAGGAGAGGATTTCAGAGCATCAACTGATCATTCATAGACTCAACAGTGACATTTGAGAATTCTCAAATGAACATTAGAGGCACCACCAAGGAACATACTTGGGTTGTTAGAGGGACCGGTAGACTGAGATGGGAGAGGCCTGCTGCATACAGTCAGCTGATCTATAGTCGACTTAAAAGTGACCAATGAGGGGACTCAAAATGCACCCACGAATCATACTTGGGTTGCTGGATGGAACAGTTGACTGAGCTGGAGACGACTGCATGGGATCAGCAACTCCGCTGCCCTTCACCTCTCCACCTCCTCCTCCCCCTGCCGCTGCCGCTAGTGCTGGTGGTGGTGGAGGAACCCCTGTTGCTGCTGGTGCTTGCCCTGCTGCTCCTGGTGCTGGTGGTGCAGCTGCTGGTGCTGCAGGGAGAGTGGAGGCGGAGGTGGAAGGGGAGGAGCCGGACAGAAGCATCAGCTGCTGCCGCGCCTGCGCCAACTGCTGCTGCAGCTGCTGCTGCACCTGCTGCAGTTGCTGTGGCGGCTGCTGCTGCTGCTGCTGCTGCTGCTGCTGCTGCTGTAGTTGCTGCGGTGGCGGTAACACCTGTTGCTGCTGCTGCTGCTGCTGCTGCTGCTGCTGCTGTTGCTGGGAGGAGGAAGAGAGGTGCTGCAGTTGCTGCTGCACCTGCTGCATCTGCTGCTGCAGCTGCTGCTGTAACTGAAACATCTGCTGCTGCTGCTGCAGCTGCTGCTGCGGCGGCTGCTGGTGCTGCTGCTGCTGCTGCTGCTGTGCTTGCTGTTGCACTGCTTGCAACTGTGACTGCAACAACTGCTGCTGCTGCAGCAGCTGCAACTGCTGCTGCTGCTGCTGCTGCTGTGGTGGTTGCATCAGCTGTTCCCCACCTCCTCCTCCTGCTGCCGTTGCTCCTCCCACACCTCCCTGCCCCTGCGTTTGCCCCTGCACCGGACCCAACCCCTGCGTTTGCAGCTGATGAGTTGGCACAGGAAGGTTGAGGGAAGCAGGGGCAGAAAGGGCCATAGGAGAGAGTCTAGACGGCTGGGCTTGGGGTAAGGGGGGTTGAGACGGGGGAAAGGGGTGCTGAGACGAGGGGAGGGGGGGCTGTGTGGGGGGAAGGGGGGCGTGAGATGGGGGAAGGGGGGCGGAGAGAGGAGCTGGGGAGGAGGTAGCTGCTGCCATGGCGGCTGTAGCGGCAGCACCAGCAGACAGAGCGGCTGTAGCGGGGGGGAGAGTGGGAAGGGCGACTGTAGCAGCTGTAGCAGCTGTAGCGGCAGGAGCAGGAGAGGTGGTGGAGGTGATTGGGTTGTCAGTCCAGCCAAGGCTGTCCCTTACGTAATTGACGTCATAGCTGGTGGGAGGGAGAGGACGATAGGAAGGGGGGAAGGGATGGTGGGAGGGAGGGAGGGAGGGATGGATAGGAGCAGCAGCAGGGGAGGTGGTGGAGGTGATTGGGTTGTCAGTCCAGCCAAGGCTGTCCCTTACGTAATTGACGTCATAGCTGGTGGGAGGGAGAGGACGATAGGAAGGGGGGAAGGGATGGTGGGAGGGAGGGAGGGAGGGATGGATAGGAGCAGCAGCAGGAGAGGTGGTGGAGGTGATTGGGTTGTCAGTCCAGCCAAGGCTGTCCCTTACGTAATTGACGTCATAGCTGGTGGGAGGGAGAGGACGATAGGAAGGGGGGAAGGGATGGTGGGAGGGAGGGAGGGAGGGATGGATAGGAGCAGCAGCAGGAGAGGTGGTGGAGGTGATTGGGTTGTCAGTCCAACCGAGGCTGTCCCTCACGTAATTGACGTCGTAGCTGGTGGGAGGGACGTGGGAGTTGATGGGGAAGGAATGGGGGGAGAAAGGGAAGGTGAGTGCAGCGATTGACTAGCGCATATGATTGGGTTGTCTGTCCAACCGAGGCTGTCCCTCACGTAATTGACGTCGTAGCTGGTGGGAGGGACGTGGGAGTTGATGGGGAAGGAATGGGGGGAGAAAGGGAAGGTGAGTGCAGCGATTGACTAGCGCATATGATTGGGTTGTCAGTCCAACTGAGGCAGTCCCTCACGTAATTGACGTCTCAGCTGGTGGGAGGGAGAGGAAGGGAAGGAGAAGGGGTTGGTGGGAGGGAGGGATGGATGGATGGGAGCAGGACGGTGATTGGGTTGTCTGTCCAACCGAGGCTATCTCTCACGTAATTGACATCATAGCTGGATTAAGGAATGGGGGTAAGTGCTAAGAAGGAAACGTCTCAAAACTAGTCTTGCATTTTGATACGTCTCAAAACTGTCCCAGCCCATACCCCATACCCCCCCCCCCTTCGTCCCTCATTACCATCCCTTTTGTTTCTCCCCCATCTCACTGGAATGCCTCCTCCTGAAGTCCCAAGACTAACAAAAGGGATTTGTTTCCCTGAAATGCTTTCCTCACGCTTTCCTGAAGTCCACCCCAGTCCTCCTCAGACCGCTTTCCTCAGACCGCTTTCCTCAGACCGCTTTCCTCAGACCGCTTTCCTCAGCTCCGCTTGTTCCACCCCGCTTCCCTCTTCTCACCTTCCCCCTTTTCACGAACCCCCTTTCTCTCCCTCATCTCACCGAAATGCGTCCTCTTTGAGGCCCAACACGGCTTTCCTCAACTCCTCCATCTTGCCCGGGTCGCCCTGAGCCACTAGCTGGTGGGAGTGGGGCAGAGGGGAAGGGGTTGAGTAGAAGGAGACGGAAGAGCGGGTGGGCGGGTGGGAGAAGCAGAAAGGGGTGGCATTGCAACAGGCTCTCAGCTTCTCTTTTTGAGTCGACTCAAAAGAAGGCGTGGAAGAAGCAGAAAGGGGTGGCATTGCAACAGGCTCTCAGCGTCTCTTTTTGAGTCGACTCAAAAGAAGGCGTGGAAGAAGCAGAAAGGGGTGGCATTGCAACAGGCTCTCAGCTTCTCTTTTTGAGTCGACTCAAAAGAAGGCGTGGAAGAAGCAGAAAGGGGTGGCATTGCAACAGGCTCTCAGCTTCTCTTTTTGAGTCGACTCAAAAGAAGGCGTGGAAGAAGCAGAAAGGGGTGGCATTGCAACAGGCTCTCAGCTTCTCTTTTTGAGTCGACTCAAAAGAAGGCGTGGAAGAAGCAGAAAGGGGTGGCATTGCAACAGGCTCTCAGCTTCTCTTTTTGAGTCGACTCAAAAGAAGGCGTGGAAGAAGCAGAAAGGGGTGGCATTGCAACAGGCTCTCAGCTTCTCTTTTTGAGTCGACTCAAAAGAAGGCGTGAAAGAAGCAGAAAGGGGTGGCATTGCAACAGGCTCTCAGCTTCTCTTTTTGAGTCGACTCAAAAGAAGGCGTGGGAGAAGCAGAAAGGGGTGGCATTGCAACAGGCTCTCAGCTTCTCTTTTTGAGTCGACTCAAAAGAAGGCGTGGGAGAAGCAGAAAGGGGTGGCATTGCAACAGGCTCTCAGCTTCTCTTTTTGAGTCGACTCAAAAGAAGGCGTGGGAGAAGCAGAAAGGGGTGGCATTGCAACAGGCTCTCAGCTTCTCTTTTTGAGTCGACTCAAAAGAAGGCGTGGGAGAAGCAGAAAGGGGTGGCATTGCAACAGGCTCTCAGCTTTTCTTTTTGAGTTGACTCAAAAGAAGGCGTGGGAGAAGCAGAAAGGGGTGGCATTGCAACAGGCTCTCAGCTTCTCTTTTTGAGTCGACTCAAAAGAAGGCGTGGGAGAAGCAGAAAGGGGTGGCATTGCAACAGGCTCTCAGCTTTTCTTTTTGAGTCGACTCAAAAGAAGGCGTGGGAGAAGCAGAAAGGGGTGGCATTGCAACAGGCTCTCAGCTTCTCTTTTTGAGTCGACTCAAAAGAAGGCGTGGGAGAAGCAGAAAGGGGTGGCATTGCAACAGGCTCTCAGCTTCTCTTTTTGAGTCGACTCAAAAGAAGGCATGGGAGAAGCAGAAAGGGGTGGCATTGCAACAGGCTCTCAGCTTTTCTTTTTGAGTCGACTCAAAAGAAGGCGTGGGAGAAGCAGAAAGGGGTGGCATTGCAACAGGCTCTCAGCTTTTCTTTTTGAGTCGACTCAAAAGAAGGCGTGGGAGAAGCAGAAAGGGGTGGCATTGCAACAGGCTCTCAGCTTCTCTTTTTGAGTCGACTCAAAAGAAGGCGTGGGAGAAGCAGAAAGGGGTGGCATTGCAACAGGCTCTCAGCTTCTCTTTTTGAGTCGACTCAAAAGAAGGCGTGGGAGAAGCAGAAAGGGGTGGCATTGCAACAGGCTCTCAGCTTTTCTTTTTGAGTCGACTCAAAAGAAGGCGTGGGAGAAGCAGAAAGGGGTGGCATTGCAACAGGCTCTCAGCTTTTCTTTTTGAGTCGACTCAAAAGAAGGCGTGGGAGAAGCAGAAAGGGGTGGCATTGCAACAGGCTCTCAGCTTTTCTTTTTGAGTCGACTCAAAAGAAGGCGTGGGAGAAGCAGAAAGGGGTGGCATTGCAACAGGCTCTCAGCTTCTCTTTTTGAGTCGACTCAAAAGAAGGCGTGGGAGAAGCAGAAAGGGGTGGCATTGCAACAGGCTCTCAGCTTCTCTTTTTGAGTCGACTCAAAAGAAGGCGTGGGAGAAGCAGAAAGGGGTGGCATTGCAACAGGCTCTCAGCTTCTCTTTTTGAGTCGACTCAAAAGAAGGCGTGGGAGAAGCAGAAAGGGGTGGCATTGCAACAGGCTCTCAGCTTTTCTTTTTGAGTCGACTCAAAAGAAGGCGTGGGAGAAGCAGAAAGGGGTGGCATTGCAACAGGCTCTCAGCTTTTCTTTTTGAGTCGACTCAAAAGAAGGCGTGGGAGAAGCAGAAAGGGGTGGCATTGCAACAGGCTCTCAGCTTCTCTTTTTGAGTCGACTCAAAAGAAGGCGTGGGAGAAGCAGAAAGGGGTGGCATTGCAACAGGCTCTCAGCTTCTCTTTTTGAGTCGACTCAAAAGAAGGCGTGGGAGAAGCAGAAAGGGGTGGCATTGCAACAGGCTCTCAGCTTCTCTTTTTGAGTCGACTCAAAAGAAGGCGTGGGAGAAGCAGAAAGGGGTGGCATTGCAACAGGCTCTCAGCTTCTCTTTTTGAGTCGACTCAAAAGAAGGCGTGGGAGAAGCAGAAAGGGGTGGCATTGCAACAGGCTCTCAGCTTCTCTTTTTGAGTCGACTCAAAAGAAGGCGTGGGAGAAGCAGAAAGGGGTGGCATTGCAACAGGCTCTCAGCTTCTCTTTTTGAGTCGACTCAAAAGAAGGCGTGGGAGAAGCAGAAAGGGGTGGCATTGCAACAGGCTCTCAGCTTCTCTTTTTGAGTCGACTCAAAAGAAGGCGTGGGAGAAGCAGAAAGGGGTGGCATTGCAACAGGCTCTCAGCTTCTCTTTTTGAGTCGACTCAAAAGAAGGCGTGGGAGAAGCAGAAAGGGGTGGCATTGCAACAGGCTCTCAGCTTCTCTTTTTGAGTCGACTCAAAAGAAGGCGTGGGAGAAGCAGAAAGGGGTGGCATTGCAACAGGCTCTCAGCTTCTCTTTTTGAGTCGACTCAAAAGAAGGCGTGGGAGAAGCAGAAAGGGGTGGCATTGCAACAGGCTCTCAGCTTTTCTTTTTGAGTCGACTCAAAAGAAGGCGTGGGAGAAGCAGAAAGGGGTGGCATTGCAACAGGCTCTCAGCTTCTCTTTTTGAGTCGACTCAAAAGAAGGCGTGGGAGAAGCAGAAAGGGGTGGCATTGCAACAGGCTCTCAGCTTTTCTTTTTGAGTCGACTCAAAAGAAGGCGTGGGAGAAGCAGAAAGGGGTGGCATTGCAACAGGCTCTCAGCTTTTCTTTTTGAGTCGACTCAAAAGAAGGCGTGGGAGAAGCAGAACGGGGTGGCATTGCAACAGGCTCTCAGCTTTTCTTTTTGAGTCGACTCAAAAGAAGGCGTGGGAGAAGCAGAAAGGGGTGGCATTGCAACAGGCTCTCAGCTTTTCTTTTTGAGTCGACTCAAAAGAAGGCGTGGGAGAAGCAGAAAGGGGTGGCATTGCAACAGGCTCTCAGCTCCTCTTTTTGAGTCGACTCAAAAGAAGGCGCGGGAGAAGCAGAAAGGGGTGGCATTGCAACAGGCTCTCAGCTTCTCTTTTTGAGTCGACTCAAAAGAAGGCGTGGGAGAAGCAGAAAGGGGTGGCATTGCAACAGGCTCTCAGCTTTTCTTTTTGAGTCGACTCAAAAGAAGGCGTGGGAGAAGCAGAAAGGGGTGGCATTGCAACAGGCTCTCAGCTTCTCTTTTTGAGTCGACTCAAAAGAAGGCGTGGGAGAAGCAGAAAGGGGTGGCATTGCAACAGGCTCTCAGCTTCTCTTTTTGAGTCGACTCAAAAGAAGGCGT